GCTTGGCTCTCGGGATACCTCCTGGTCTCCCTGCACGCGTCGTGTTGCGAGTCTTTTTGTCCGCAGGAGGCTCGCTCAGAGCGCACAGACAGATTCGTTGACACTTGTCCTCGATCCTCCCTTGGACCTGCGTCCTCCCTCTCCCTCCGAATCCGTTGACGTTCTCCCTCCTCCCTCCTAAAGTTTCTGCACCCCTGATTTCTCTACTCCATAACCTTGCTTGCTAATATTTCGCCAGGGTTGCTGGGCATGCCGATGCCAATACGATAGGCCTCTTGCCCCTCAGGGAACTGGCATCCATCTGATTCGCCGTCGTCCCCGTCGCCTGCCCGACGGAGTGCGTTGGTGCAGGTGTTTGTTGAATGGCCTTCGTCCCATCCCGCCACCGTGCCTGGGTTGTGGGTATGAAACCTATTGGATGTTCGTTGGGATCGCGCAGGGAGGCCTCTCGGGGGCCTCTTGAAGGCAGTTTTGAGGCCTCTTGGGGGCCGTTTTGGTGCCTGTTGGGGCTTTCGGGGGGTCCTCTTGGGGGCCTTTTGGGGTCCTCATCAGGCCTCTTGGGCGCCTCTTGGGGCCATCTGGGGGCTCGGATTTTCGGTTCGTGTTCCCTCTATTGAGCCCCTTTTGGGGTCCTCTTGGGCCATTCTATGCGCTTCTTGGCCCGTCTTGGGGCGCTCTTCGGCCGTCTTGGGGCGCTCTCGGGGGCCTCTTGGGCCGTTTTGGGGTGGTCTCGGGAGCCTCTTGGGCCGTCTTGAAGCATCGGAAAATAAAAAATGAGAGACCGCCCAAATCCATCCAAAGCATAGGTAAAATCAATGATTCGTGCTTCTTGGGGCCCTCTGGGGGGGCCTCTTGGGGCGTCTTGGAGACTTCTTGGGCCATCTTGAGACCGTCTTGGACGTCTTGGGGCGATCTTTCGGCGTCTCGGGACCCTCTTGGACCGTCTTGAGGGCCGCGGTCACGCGAGAAGATGCCCAAGAAGATTTGGCAATGTGCGGTCCAGGCCCCATGAAGACTCTTCCAGAGCGAGGACTGCGGCTCAGAGGATTCGGCAAAGGCCCTGAGGGCACGCCCACTCCGTGCCAAGAGTCACGGTTGCGGATAGTAGGTGCCCTCCGATGAGGTGTTGTTCGAGGTGACTTGGCGCGACGACGGCGACGAGGACGACGAGGACGACGACGACGGCGGCGGCGACGACGACGACGACGACGACGACGACGACGACGACGACGACGACGAGCTTTCGAGGGTCTCGAGCGGCGGCGCCGTGCACGTCCCCTGCCAGGTGCGCTGCCTGGAGGGCCTCCGCCGCCGCCGCGAGGCGCCGCAGTGCGCCGCGACGGCCCCGTTGCGGCCCGCGGCGGCCTTCACCGGCCCTCGCTGGCCCTCGCGGCGGCCCTCGGCGGCCCGCGGCGGCCCGCGGCGGCCCGCGGCGGCCCGCGCGCGCCGCCGGCCCGCGGCGGCCCGCGGCGGCCCGGAGCGGCCCGCGGCGGCCCGCGGGCGAGGTGCTGTGCGAGGCGCTGCAGGCCGCGGGCCTGGCCGTGGTGGGCGGGCGGCCCCGCGCGGGCCACTGGCTCGCCGCCAGGCTGCCCGAGGACGTCGACGAGGCGGGCGGGCGGCGGGCCGCGGCGGCTCCCCCTCCTCCGCGTCCTCCTCCCTCCTCCCTCCTCCTCCTCTCCTCCTCCTCCTCCTCCTCCTCCCTCCTCCTCCTCCTCTTCTTCCCCTTCCCCATCCCCATCCCCGCCTACTGCCCCGCGCGAGGGGTCGACTAGACGTAAGAGTGACCTTTCGCCGGAGTGACCTTTGGTGCGGGCACTGATGGGCCCCCAGGTTGCTGAAAGCGAAGCAGGAGCAGCGGCTTGCGCGCCCAGGCTTGGTCCCCCCGCGGCCACCAAGAAGCCGCACACCAAAGGTCACTCCTTGCCCAGGGTCACTCTTACGTGTAGCCGAAGGGGGTACAGCCTGGGCGCTGAAGAGGGAGCCCTTTTCGTTGGGGAGGGGATCCGTGTTCGGTAGTTGTTTTACAGTTTGCCTCAGGTTTTTTTCAGGCTTTCGATTGGGAGTCGAAGTTTTGACTTCTGGAGAAAAGGGGCCTCGTTCCTTACTTGGGGTTCCTTAGGTCACCGCCCCGACTGTAGGGGGAGGGGGGGAAGGCCTCTCAGGAGCACCCCTGCTTCTGAGAAGGCGCGGGCAATGTCTGCAGATGTAAGGCTGGCGCCTTCTGAGAAGCAGCCTCCTCCCTTCCCCCCTCCCCCATTACCCCCCTGTGCGCGCCATCCAACGGCCAGAGGAGGTCGATCGAGCACGGTCGGAAACTTGGCTCCGGGTTTCGTGCCGCCGGGTCTGGCCCACAAGGCTTCTGCGCGGCCTGCTAATAGGGGAACGGAAAATTACATAAACATAACAATTCGGAGGTCCGCGCGGATTTCTCGGATCGGCGCTGGGGCCCCCCCGCGGCGCCTCCGAGAAATCCGCGCGGACCTCCGAGTTTTTATATTTATGCCACTTTTCCGTTCCCTAGCTAATCATCCACCTCGCATGCCCCACGCGTCAGCGCTGCGAGCTTTTTGTCCCAGCCGCGGAGCGGCGCGACGTGCTGTCCGCAGGCACGGCATGGCGTCTCGCCGGAGCCGCCGACGCGGCCGCGAAGCGGGTCAGATCCCGGCCGTATCTCTGAGCGCCCGGGATGGGGAGAGAAAAGAGGAGTGGGATTCGACTACAGTCAAAAACCCTAAGAAGGACGCGCGACTTTGCTCAGGGTACCCTTGCGTCCTTGCTCTTCCTTGCTCTTGCGGCTCGTCCTTGGCCTCTTTCGCATGCCCGCTTGACGACAAATCCCAACTTCGGCTTCCAAGGGTCTTGCGTCCTTACCGCGCGTCCTTCTTAGGGTTTTTGACAGACGTAGGAGTGACCTTTCGCCGGAGTGGCCTTTGGTGTGGCCCCAATGGGGTCCCCCCGATCGCAGAACGCGGTGCGATGGTAGCGGCTATAGCGCGCCTGGATCTGGCCTCCCCGCGGCGCCCCAAGAGCCGCGCACCAAAGGTCACTCTTGCCCAGGGTCACTCCTTGCGTGTAGCCGAGGGGTGCCCATCAGCAGCGCCTGTACACGAAGCACAAGGTTTGCAGTGCGCCAGGGTTCATCGGACAGCAAAGCGTAACCTTTGACAGCAGCTCTTCTCCACGTGGCTGCAGTGCTGTTCACGCGGGCACACATACACGTCAAGAATGGTTGAGAGAAGGGGCCCGACATGCGTGGAGCGCATCGCCGTGAAGCATGGCGCAGACGAGTCCTGACGGAAACCGGTCATGAGGTTCGCCGTCCTTTATATGTGTTGTGTGCCGTCGAGGAACGGCGCAGGTGAAGATCCCGTCCTGCGGAGGGCCCACGGAATCAGGGCTCGCTTAAGAATGGGCACCAGCGTAGGCAGAAGCAATAATAGACACAAGATCCTTGGTTGCCCCGTGCCCAGAAAGAAAACAGACTTCAGACACAAAGTGTCAGACCCTGAGGCTGCGTCCTCCTGGCTTCCGGGCTGCTTCCCGCGTTCGCGGTCGGGGAGTTTGAGGCCGCTCGCATCGGGTTGGCCAAGACTCGAGGAACAAGAAACGGCAAAGACTTGCTCTTGGGTCGGCGCTGGACCCCCCCTGCCTGGCGGCATCTCCATCGCCGAACCTTGCGCTCCAGGAGAGGTCCGGCGGGCGACGTCGGCGGCACCACGCTTGCGAGGTCACGTCTGCGGCTGCGTCTCGTCGACGTGACGCCGACGTCTTCGATGTCCTGTCGACGTAGACGACGTAGCGTCGGCGACGTGTTCGCATGTGCCTTTGGCTTCTGTCGGTCATGTACCAGAGGTTCGGGGAGAGATCGAAGTGAAACGGAGACCCCCTGGAAATCGGTTGCGGTTCCGTGTTCATGTCTTGCGTGCGGGCGAGGCGAACATGCGCGGACGGCGGAGACGAACGAACCACCGTTGATAGGGCGAAGCCGGGCAAGGTTCTTCTCCGCCGGCGGTGGCCCAGGGGTGTCCTGTCGGCTGGCTGGCGGCTTGGGGGTGTTCCGACGGTGTCTCGATGGTGCCCCGATGGTGTCTCGATGGTGTGTCGGGATGGTGTCCCGATGGCGTCCCGATGGCGTCCCGATGGTGTCCCAACGTGCGATCGACAGGTGAGTAGTGGGATCAACCGTGAGATGGATAGTGGGGCCGATTGGTATTGATTTTGGCAGGTTAAGAGAGTGAGATCACCAGTGAGATCGGTAAACAGAGACCAAGACCGATAGTTATATTGTGCGGACGATCGTGAGACCGATAAGTCGATAGTGTGACCGGCAGAGAGATCGAGAATTGGATAGTGAGATCGATAGTGAGATTGATAGCAGATCCGATAGTGAGTTCTGTAATGGGACCGATATTCGAAATCCCTTAATAATCGACCCCCCCTATGTAACCAGACCCCCCTGTCAATGGTAACCTAATTGTCTGGACTTCTTTGTCAACGGGGGGCCTTATTTTCCGGACCCCCTCGTCTTCGGTTTAAAGAACCCGCTCTCATAAACCGGACCTCCCCGCTTCCAAAAAGAAACGCCTTGAAAAACCGGACCCAGGGGACGATTCTTAGGGGATCGTGAGTAGTGAGATCGAGCAACAGATAGTGAGGTCGATATTGAGACTTATAGTGAGGCCGACAGTGAGATGGGTATACAAATAGTGGAAGTGGACGGATGGGCGGCAATGGTCTTCCGATGGTGTCCCAATAGTGGCACCTACTTGTTCCCAGGATGTTCCGATGGTGTCCCGTCGCAAGTGTCGTCAGCTGTTTCCCCCCCGCAAGCTCCTTATCACCCGAAGGGTGAGTGATCGTATAGGTATACCTCACTGCGCAGCCGACGTAGTGGTGCCAGCGCAGGCCAGTTTGCATGGACAGGTCAGGAAGAGGGAAGCACGCCTGCCTCTCAATGGGCAGCACCCTTGTGGCTCCCATGCAATGTGAGTTTTTTGGGGCGCGCCCGTGGTCTGACTCCTTGAGCGGTGGTCCACTCAACCCGTGCAACAGATTCCTTTTGGAAGGGCGTGCCCTGTGTGCCATCCGCGCCTCCATCGAACCCCTTCCTAGTGGCCCCTGTTCCTCGTCTTCCTGGTGCCTTTCCCACGACGCCTCGTCTTCCTTTCCGCTGAGCCACCTCGGCTCAAGATGTCAGGGTGCCGCCCTCTCCGCCGAGAAGGCGCGCTGCAGCCATGTCGCATTGGTCCAGGCTCCTTGAACAGCTGGACTCCGGCGGGGAGGGCGTCGCCTCCCGGTCCGAGTTCGCCGCGGCCGGCCCAGAAGGCCGGTCGAGGTCACCGCTGGTGGGCACAGGTGGCCGCTCTCCCGCGGCGGTGGCCATCGCGAGCAACAGCGGCGTCACCGACGACATCGAGGCCATCGAGGCGATGAAGTCCGAGCACTACGCGGCCCAGATGAGTCTCAATAAGGAACAGGTTGCGATCTTCAGCCAGGATCTGGACCAGCTGCAGCAGGCTGTCGCCCAGCTGAGAGACTTCATCGGCCTGGCATCCCCTGGCGGGTCCTGCGCCAAGCTCGTCGACCGCGTCGCTTTTCTGGAGAGGGACGTTCGCGACTCGTTCGAGAAGCACGCGAAGGCGCTGCAGGAGTTGCGAGATTCTTTGGAGGCGCAAATCGGCGGCGTCGGGAGACACCTCGCGAGCGCGGAGGAGCGCCTGACGTTCGTGGAGAAGACGCTGGGGGACTCGGTGGACACGCACGACAGAATGTGTAGTGACCTGCGCAGGGCCCAAGACACCCACGCCAGGGAGGTTGGCGAGTTGAAGAATGCTCACCATTCTCATCATACCAGCATTCTGGAGCGCGTCGACTTCTTAGCGAAGGAGTTCGGCGAGTCTGCTGACAAGCACGCCAAAATGCTTGCAGACCTTTCGCGGTCCCACGACAAGCAATCCCAGGAGCTCGCAATCGTGAAGGGCGCATACAGCTACCACGCAACGTTCGAAGAACGCATTGAATACATAGAGAGGGTCGCTGGGGATTCAATTGACAAGCACGCCAAGGCCTTGGCCGACATGAAAATTGCCCACGACAAGCATGTGAAGGACATGCAGGAGCACACGTCGATCCACGCGTCCCTGCCAGAGCGTGTCGTACTTCTCGAGAAGGAACTCGAAGACTCCGCAGACAGGCACGCCAAGGCGCTGGCTGTCCTGAAGAGAAGCCACGACAGCCTCTGGGCAACCCACGAGCAGAACCACGCCACGCTGCCAGATCGCGTTGGTTACCTGGAGAAGGAGTTCGGGGACTCTGCCGACAAGCACGGCAAGCTGTTGCTGGAGTTGCACACGAAACACGAGCAGCTGCTGTCTGATCAATGCGGGAAGCACGCCTCTATCTCAGACAGGGTGGCGTTCCTGGAGCAAGAGGTTGGTGACACCGTTGAGAAGCATGCGAGGCTGACGAGCGAGATGACGTCCTACGGGGAGCTCAAGCGTTCGCACGCAAAGCACGTGACATCTTCCGAGGCTCGTCACGGTTCCATTGAGCAGCGCTTAGCTCGTCTGGAGCAGGAGATGCGCAACTCGTTCGACAAGCATGCGAAGCGACTGGATGCGGATGCGCTTGACGCGCTTCGGCAAGCCCATGGCAAGCACGCTCGGGACTTGGAAAGCGTAATGGCCATGCACGACAAGCATGAATGTCTCGCCGATCGCCTCGAGGCGATTGAGGTGAATCACAGGGACTCAATAAGCCAGATCGGCGTCTTGAAGGCAGGGTGCGACAACCTGGCGAACGACCTCGCTGCCCTCCGAAATCTGAAGGGCTCCAGCACGATAGAGGAGCGGTTACTGAACGTCGAGAGGTTGATTGCCTTCGTCGGCGCCGACAAACTGGACGTACTGACGCAGGCCGTCCAGGGAGAGGAGCAGACCAAGCATGAGCTCGTCCGAGGCACCAGACAAACCGACGCCCATGTAATGCAGGTGGTCAGGTCTATCTCGCCCGATGGACTCGCGGCGCAGTCGTACTCCAGGGACGGGAGCTTCGCCGCAGTGCCACAGCCAGTCGCGTCAGGTGCAATCGTGATGGCCGCCACATTGCCAGCCGCGAGGGTGGGGTCGCCTGTCCAGGTTCTTGTGCCGACCGCCGTGATCCGCACTGAGCCCCACGCCTCAGTGCGGACCGACTACTGTGGTGGTCAGGTTGACTATCAATGCGCGTTGGCGGGGTGCTCACAAGGGGTGCAGCTCGTGCCCAACAAGTGTTGTTCCTGGTCCTCCTCGTCGTCGACGTCCTCGTCCTTCCTCCCCACGCACTCGTCCTCCACCTTGTCCTCCGCCTCCTGCGTGCCGTCTTCCTCCTCATGCCTCCCCTGCTGCTCTGCCGCCTCCTCCCCTCCTCCTCCGCCTCACTGTCCTTAGCCTGTCCCGTGCCTCCGCTGCTTCCTCTCCGTCTCTGTGCGTTGCGCAGCTTGCTGCTACTCCTGCTGCTGCTGCCGCGACCGCCGCTGCCGGTCCTGATTCTGCTGATGGTGCTGTTCCTGGTCATCCGCCGCATGCTCCGTACTACACTTGTCTGTTGGGCAGTCGCTCCGTATCGACCTCATCGCCATGCGCAACGTTGTACCTCTTACTCCCCTCCCATCCCCCCCCTCCCTGCCCCCGCAGGTGGACTACTGCGATGCGCTGGACAGCTACGGCGTTCGCGCGGTGGCCGGCGCACCCTTCGGTGTGCCGGGCTGCGTGCGGCTGGACTTCGCCGTGCCCTTCGACGCCCTCGAGGACTCCCTGGGCGCCTACGCCGCCGCGGTGCAGGACGTGCGCCAGTGGCAGCGGGACGGCGGCGCCAGAGGGCCCCGCTACATGGCCAGGAAGCAGTCCGCGCGCAACTCGATGGCGCTGGCCGTGGCCAAGGGAGACGTCCACGCGCTGCGCGCCTCCGTCGCGGACGCCGAGGCCGCGCGACTGGGCGCCCCGGAGCTCGCGGCCGCCAGCGAGGCGCTGGCGGTGCTCGTGGCCCAGTCGGACGGCGCCGAGGCCGCCGCGGAGGGGGCGGCTCCTCCTCCTCCCCCTCCTCCTCCTCCTCCTCCTCCTCCTCCTCCTCCTCCTCCTCCTCCTCCTCCTCCTCCGCCTCCTCCGCCTCCAGGAAGCGGGGGCGACGCCCGCGGGCTCGCTCGCGGACGCGGCGGGCGAGTCGCTGCGGTCGGAGACCCCAGACGTCCAGGCGCTGACGGCGGAGCTGGACGCGGACGCGGAGGGCGGCGAGGAGCTCTCCGAGGCTTGGTTGCCTCGATACGCCCGTTTTGAAACGCAACACGTCCCGCGTTCAGGACGTCCGTGTCCATACGTTGCGTGTTGGCTCTACGCATTGGCCCACGTTTTGGCGAACGTATCGCGTCGGACCTACGCTTTCAGCCTACGTGTTGAGCTCCGTATCAATACGCCACGTGTGGCGTGCTGCGCATCGGGGCAGCCAAGCTCCGGGGAGGCAAGCGGCGGCGCCGAGGCGCCTCGCGAGGCAGAGGCCGACGTGGAGGCCGACGCGGCCGACGTGGCCGCGGCGGAGCAGGCCGGCAGGGCTGCGCACCTGGGGGCGCAGCTGCGCCGCGGGGCGCGCGCCCTGGCGTGCGTGGTGCAGACCACGGGCAGCATCACGACCGAGCTGATCGCGCAGGCCGGCTTCGAGCTCAGCGCGAGGAAGGCAAGGCGGCATGTGAAGAGAAGCCTTCGGGGGTCCTCGCGGATGTCTTGGGCCTGCGCTGGACCCCCCTGGCGGCGCCGCTGGCGCCGCGCCGGGCGCGCCCCGCGCGCCAGGGGCGGGGATCCCGGCGCAGAGGCAAGACAGCTGCGCGCACCGTCGGAAGGCTGTGTGTTACGCCGCTCTGTTTTTCCTCTGCCGTCGTCGTGGACCACGAGAACGGGCCCGGCGACTTCGGCGTGGCCGCGGGGCTGGTGAGGTCGGCGCTGGGCGCGGGGTCCCACGCGGTCTTGCGGCTGCCCGAGGCGGAGGCCATCGGCGGGCCCCTGACATACTAATACAAGATGCGCGTCGCCCCCGCAGTAGATCCTGCAGTATATGCACCGAGAAATCCTGCAGTATATCCTGCAGTATATGCATCGTGGCGGGCGATTTCTGGCCACACCGCTCGGGAAACGATATACTACAATATGGATATACTACATGCTTGGGTCGGACGCGTGTCTCCGAGGAGGCCACATAATACTAACGCGTCTCTGTGCGTCCCAGGTCAGCCTGGTGAGCAGGGCTCTGGACGCGGGCGCCGAGGGCGTCCTGCTGCCCCGGGTGGCGTCGCCCGGGGAAGCAGAGGCCTTCGCCGCGCTGGTGCAGGAGGCTCGCGACCGCCTGCGCGGAGACGACGCCATCGAGTGGCACGAGGAGTGCGAGGAGGAGGAGCCTGAGGCGCCCGCGAAGCAGGCGGGGCAGCAGGCGATGGTCGACCCCGCCGTGCCTCACGCGACGCCGCCGCCGCCGAGGCCGCTGGTCGCCGTGGAGCTGGACCCCGCGAGCGGGCTCGACGTGGCGGAGGCCGTGCTCGAGGTCGCGGGCATCGACCTGGTGCTCGTCGACCCCGACCGGGCCGCCGAGCACATCGCGGCGCGCCACGGCTGCACGTACCAGCCGAGCTCTCGGGGCGCGGCCCTCGTGGAGGACGGCCACGCTGGAGACCTCGCCGCGGGCGGGCCGCGGGTGCAGGCCGCGGACGGCGACGCCGCGGCCGCCGAGGAGGACCCGCCCCGCGGCGCCTCGCCCACCGCGGAGGGCGAGATGCAGCCCACGGCGCCGCAGAGCGCGGCCCCCGCGTTCCGGCGGGGCGTCGGGGCGCGGCGCAGCATCACGGAGGAGCTGAAGGCGCCCTCGATGGGCCCGCGGCGGCAGAGCGCCGCCGCCGCGCTCTCCTCCAGGGCCTCCGAGGAGCTGGCGCAGTTCTGGGCCCGCTTCGACGCGCTCCCCGCCCGCGCGGCCGAGTGCCAGAAGCTGCTCGGCTGCTGCGCGCACACGCGCTCCTCTCCCGTCCAGCTGCTGCAGGCGGGGCACTGCGTGGTCGTGATCGCTGTCGACACCGCCCTGCTTCGAGAGGGTGCCGTGAGGCACGCAGCCGAGATGAAGACGGACAGGGACAGCACGCAGCGCCTCTTCGTGACTCCCCTGGAGAGCGCGCGGGCCAGGCTGGCCAGCAGCGCGCTGGTGGCCCAGCTGCGGCGCCACAAGGTCGCCCTGGGTGCCTTCGTGCACCTGAGCGACCCCCTGACCACGGAGACGCTGTCGCTGGCCGGCTTCGAGGCCGTCGTGCTGGACCACGAGCAGGGGCCCGGCGACCTGGTGAACGCTGTGGGCCAGATCCACGCGGCTTCCAGCGCGGGTGCGCACACGCTGCTGCGAGTGCCAGGACAGGACCAAGCGTACCTCCGCCGTGCGCTGCAGCTCGGCGTCGACGGCATCATCCTGCCGCACACGGAGAGCGCCGAGCAGGCGGCGGACTTCGTGGCCCTGGCACGCCGCTGCTGGCCGTCCGCCGCGCAGCGCAGCGGCGGGGGGCCGGTGGCCAGCGTCCTGCGGCCGAACGCTGGCGCGGCGAGCATGCAGCACCTGCGGAGGCGTGGGGAGGAGCTGCTCCTGAAGGCCTGCCAGGTGGAGACCGAAGCAGGCCTCGCGGCCGTTGCAGACATCGCGCGGGTGGAGGGCGTGGACATGGTCTTCTTCGCGCCCGTGGAGCTCGCGGCGTCCATCTGCCGCGGCGCGGAGGCGGGCACGCTGTCCGCCCTGGAGGGCGCCGAGGCCGAGGTGAAGAAGGCCAAGAAGCTGCTGGGCGGGATGCTGGTGCCGGGCCGCTCGGCGGAGCAGATGTTCGCCTTGGGCTACGACTTGATCTGCACCACCAGCGACGTCATCCTGCTCCGCAGCGCGGCGGAGAACGTCATCCGCGAGACGAAGCCGCCGGCGTCAGGGCCCACGGCTGGCTGCGTGAGCTGGGTGGCCTCCGGGAGGCGGGGCCGCCTCGCGCGCGACGAGGAGACGCTCGTCGCAAGGCTGAAGAAGAGCAGGGACGCGCGCGCCCTGGGCGTCATGGCAAGGTTTGGGAGCCCCAGCGCCGCGGAGCTCGTCGCACGCTGCGGCTTCGAGGTGGTGGTGGTGGACCACGCGCGCGGGCCCGGGGACCTGCTGGGCGCGGTGGGCCTGGTGCACGCCGCAGCGAGGATGGGCGCGCACGCGATGATTCGGGTCCCCGGCATCAACCCCGCACACCTGCGGAGGGCGCTGCAGCTCGGCGTGGAGGGGGTGATATCTGCAGGGCTGGCGCCCGCTGCCGCAGGTCTTCGAAGGAGGAGGTGTCGGCGTCAGAGTCAGAGTGTTACTGTAGGGTCAGGGTGGATGTTCGGGCTAGGGCTGCCTAGGGTGCTCGGGAAGGGTGCTTTAGGATAATTCCCCAAACAGTGTTTGTAATTAAGCAGGGGTTCTTATGAAGAACTGGGCCTGGATGGTGGTCTGGCGGCTCCTTGCTCGCCGTCGCCGCCCCGTCGCGACTCCTCGCCGCCTGTCGTCTGGGCCTGGCTGGCGGTCTGGCGGCTCTGTGCTCTCCGTCGCCGCCACGTCGCCGCCACGTCGCCGCCCGTCGTCTGGGCCTGGCTGGCGGTCTGGCGGGTCCGTGCTCGCCGTCGCCGCCCCATCGCCGCCTCGTCACCGCCCGGCGTCTGTGCCTGGCTGGCGGTCTGGCGGTTCCGTGGTCGCCGTCGCCGCCCCGTCGCCGCCACGTCGCCGCCCGTCGTTTGGACCTGGCTGGCGGTCTGACGGCTCCGTGCTCGCCGTCGCCGCCTCGTCGTCGCCCCGTCGCAGTACCTAGGTTCTCCTTTCTAAAAAGAGAATAGACTCTACCCCCCCGGACTTATCGGTTCCCCTTGGGATCGTATGATTTCGTTTACATATATATTCCTATCTTAATAATCTCACACCAGGAAACTGACACCGAAGGGTCCCCCCCCCCCCAATAGGATTTGGCGGCCCACTGGAGCCTCCTGGACCGCCACGGGGGCCTCCCGGACCTCGACTTCGGCCCCCCAGATCCCCTTGATGGCTTCGAGCAATTGCCGAGACGGCCCAAAAACGCTCCAAGACTGCTCAAGATAACCTCAAGACGGCCCCATAGGCAGCCAACGAGCCCACAAGGGCTTCAAGCGCCCCCCGGACAGCCCCCCGAGAGGCTGAGATCGATCAAAAACCTATAGGAAATTGATAATTTCCGCCTTCTAACTTGATCGCCTCCTATCAGCCTCCGCGGCCTCAATACGGCATCCAAGCAGCCCCCAAAGAGGCCCAAAAGGTCCCCAACAGGCCCCAAGAGGCCCCCAAAGGCCCCCAAGAACACCTGCAAGGATTCCAGAAGGCTCTGAAAACACCCCCCAAAGCCCCCAAGAGGCCCCCAAAAGGCTCCCAAGAGACCCCAAGAGGTCCCCTGGAACGCCCCGAAGCCCCGTAAAGGCCCCCAAAGCCCCCCTACATATTGCAAGAGGCCCCAGTGCCACTCCGAACCACCCCCGATCTCCCACAAAAGCCTACCAGCTCTCCTTCCTGCTCTTCCTAACCGCCTCTCCCGAACGCTACCTCGCACCGCGAATCCCAGACGGACTTCCACCTCCAAAATACCACAAGCGCCCCAACATGTTCATCTAGCCTTCATACTCAAATGGTGGTCCGTATCCTTCCGAGACCGTCTTCAGAGCCTACCGGCTCTCCTCTTTCCCTTCTTACTACCCCTGCCCATTCCCTCCCACCTCCCCACACCGCTCCCCCGCACTCTCCATGGTCCCTCCTGCCATGCCGGCCGCTGCTGCAGGCTCAAGCCTTATCGCGCGACGGCCGTCAAATGCCACCGAAGCGCTCAACCTTGACTTGCACGCAATGCCATCGATGCTTGGACACGTCTGCCTTTTCCGCCACGCAGTTGCACTCTTCATCTCGGACAGCCCGATGCAAGGAGTGCTGCTCCACCGCTAATGCCCCTGTACTTCTACGGCCCTGCGCCAGCTGCGGGACAGAGCTCGCGCAGGCTGAGTACGCGCCGGACCAGTGGCGACGAAGTACCCGCAAATGTTTGACCTGCACAAGAGCCGCGCTTCAGCGTAGCGGGCATTAGACAGCATACCGACATCGTCTGCTCCAGGTGCGGCGTCTGCTGGCCCACCGACATGTTTCCACAGCGGGCCCTGAAGCGGGTTGGCCCAGTTTGCTTCAACTGTGCCGCGCCCGCCCCCCACGGCGGCCGCCCACCGTCGACCCTCGCCTCCATTTCTTTGGGGGACATGTCCACCCAATGCGACCACTGCGGCGCACTTTTGTTCAACTCGGAGTCCAAAACGTTCTGTTGTAATGCCGGGAAGTACTTCGTCAACTTTGACACCTATTTCCAATGCCCCGACAAACCCCTCTGCGAGATCTTCGCCTCCCATTGGCCGCTCACAGACGACCGCGGAGACAAGATGTACGACACCACCACCAACGAGCTTCGGTGCACTGGCTTCACGGCGCGGTCCAGGCGGCACAACAGCCTCTTCGCCCTCGCACAACACGAAATCCAGTGCAGCACTGGAGACAAAGAGCTCCGATTCGGAGACGCCCGCCGGCCAGCAAACATCATCCGTATCCATGGGACGATTTACCGACGCGTATTCTCTATGGCAGACCAGGTCCCTCTGCGATACCTGGTGCACGATCCGCAAGACCGCTTCGTCACCGCCGCGGCGCACGGCCTCAACAAGCAGACCACCAAGCAACTCGAACAGCTCATAGTGCCGAGAAATGCCCACATGCGTATGATTCAGCGTTTGGCCCGCCAGTCCAAACAAGCAGCAGACGCGAATATCATCTTGGAGTGGCACGAGGGAGTCAACGAAGTGGCTGGAATACTGGACGTCGACCCCACCCCTGACCGCAACAAAAGGTCCATCGTCTTCACATACAAGCGCCACGACACGCCGTCCTACTTGCACCCGCTGAGCCCGTTTTACGAACCCTTGAGTTACCCCCTGTGGTACCCGTTCGGCGGCCGCGGCTGGAGTACAGACGTCATCAGCGCCACCGGCCACAAGGTAACACAGATGTGGTGGTATCGCCAACAATTGCTCCGACTCCCCCACATGCACCTTTGCGGACGGCTGCTCAACGAGCGGCTCATCAACATGTTCACGCGCATGGAAGACGAGAGGTTCTCCCACATCCGTCATCAACAACGACAGCGTAGCGCCACTCGCCAGGAGCTCTGCGAGGTGCTCGCCAACGACCCCGCCAAGGCCGGAACGGTTGGCAAACAGTACGTTCTGCCATCGAGCGTCCCAGGATCACCTCGCCATCTTCGCCGACTGCGCGTTGACGCCCTGGAGCTGGCGCGACGCAAAGGCCCGCCGTCGTTCTTCATCACGTTGACTTGCAACCCCTACTGGCCAGAGATTGTGGGTCAACTGCACCGCGGACAAACCGCCGCCGACAGACCCGACATCGTCGTCCGCGTCTTTCACGACCGGCTGCAGAAGATCTTCGCTTTCTTGAAGGATTCTTTCCGCGGGGCTCGCCGTTACCTCATCAAAGTGATCGAGTGCCAGCTCCGCGGCCTTCCACATGCGCACATCGCTCTGGCTGTCCTCAACCCGCCCGCCACTCCGGACGAGGTCGACCTTCTCATCTCCTGTGAGCTACCCCGCGAAGACGGACGACTCCGCGAACTCGTCCTTCGCCACATGGTCCACAGCTGCAACCGTTCTTGCCACCCTCAAGACCCCGCTCAAGACTGCGTGAAAGGATGCCCCTGGCCGTTTTCGGACGACACGGTCTTCGACGCGCGCGGCTGCCCCCACCACCGGCGGCGACCATGCGGCGGCCACTGCCCGAATTGCCGATCTGGCCGGGCCATGTACGGGAAACGCGACGTCTGCCTCAATCGGCTCATCGTCGAATACAGCCCCGTGGCGCTTCAACTCTGGGAGGGGCGCGCCAACGTCAAGTACGCAGCGACGGTGGAACTCTTCGAATACCTATACAAATATTTGTTCAAAGGCCCTTCCAAGACGAACTACGACGTCACGCTAGATGCGAAGATTGCCGACGAGATTTCCGAGTGGCTCAAAGGCAGGTATCTGTGCGCAACGGAGGCAGCATGGCGCATGTTCGGATACAACACCTACGACAGATGGCCGCACGTCGTCTGCTTGCCCGCGCACCTGCCCGGACAACAATGGATTGTTTTCGCGGAAGGAGAGGAGGCCAATGCGCTTGAAGCCCACGTGTCACCACTTCAACGGTACTTCTACCGACCCGCGGGTCCACCGTTCGACGCATTGGCCTACCGCGAGTATTTTGAAACCTACATGACGTCCCCATCGTGCCCATCGCAGGCCGCTGCCGTGTTGGACCGCGCCCCATCCGCCAAAACAGTTCTTCGTGTACCCGAGGCTGCGTGGCGAGCCCCCGTTGTGCCGCCTCGAGATGAAGTTCCCGAAGCAAGGCGACGTCTTCTACCTCTGACACATCCTGCTGAACTTTCCCAAGGCGTCCCTTGCCGATTGCAGGACGCACAACGGCAAGGTGCATCCTACTTACGAGGAGACGCTACGGGCCACGGGCCAATTCGTCCGCGACGACGAAGCCCACGCCGTGCTCGACGAGCTCATTGCGCTCCGGTACACTGCAGCCCAACTTCGCTTCGCGTTCCTGGTTCTACTCGAACAAGATGCCGCCCCCGCGTCTCTCTACCGCAAGTACGAACGACCGCTTATGAAGGACTTCCTGGACCGAGGTCTCGGCGCCCGCGCCGCCCAGAAAAATTGCATGGTCCTGCTGCGAGCCACCTGGCTGCAGAACGGCAACAGCGACGAAAATTGGAAGCTGGGCGAGATCACTGACGGGGCTCCCGCCGATGCTACCGCAGGGCCCCCCTCAGATACTACAACGCCTACCCCCACCCCGACGACCGCTCTGCTCGCCCGCATTCGCCAATGCCCCGGGCAACGCACAGCTTGCGACCACATTCTCACTTGCTGCCGCCGGCGTCGCGAAGCCTTCGTGTTTGTGGAAGGCCGCGCGGGCACAGGGAAGACTACGTTGGCTACCTGCCTCACGCAAGCTCTCGAAGCCGATGGGCACCAGGTACTCAACGTGGCTACCACAGGGCAGGCCGCCCTCTTGCAGCCTCACGGCACCACGGCACATCCCGCCTTCGCCGTTCCAGTGCACGACGACGCCGAACTCACGTGCTCTTTATCAATGACGTCGGCCCAAACCATTACAATTTGCAAGGCCACTTTGATCCAGTGGGATGAATTCCCTTCTGCAAGAAAAGCAGCGTGGGACGCCGTTATTGCATTGCTGCGCGCACTCGCCGATCGTTGCCCGGACACATACGTCCCGAAGACCTTCGTCGGATACGGACACGAATTTCCTTTCTGCTGCGTGCTACAAACCTGCAGCCGGCCCATGAATGCTCTTACCGCCCCATGCGGGCCACAGTCGGGCCCACGCCCTCGGGTGCGAGGCCGAGGCCACACTTTCGAGTCGCCATCTGAGTTCGTGCACCGAAGCACCAAAGGCGTTCTGGACATCAAGAATTACGGGTTCAACAATTATGCATCAGGCTTCGACTATACCAACATATTCCTGGACATCGTCACTGGCGCGGCGTCGTCTCACGCGCAAGTTCTGCTCAACATATTCGTTTGTAAGGTATGGCTCAACCACGGGTCTTTTTTCGCCATGTTCTTGATAGCATACGCTTATGTGCAGACGCAACCGCGCCAGGTGAAACTTCCACGTTTGGTGGAGAGGTTCCGACAGCACCTTTCGTCTTACTTGTCGGCCCAGAGCCTTCGAGATGCGTTAATCGCCGCCGTGCTCACATCTGAGAACATGGATATATACATGATGCTCCAAGCCGCGGCTATTTGTTGGATTCTCCACAGCCGCAAACAAGCAAGAACCGGGTACAATATAGGATCTTTTGCGAATGAGACTCCGCTGGCACATCCTCGTGTCCGGTACATCAAGCTGCGAATTCGACGCAGGAATGGTTGGAAGCATATCCAATGGCCGGTCCTCGACGGCGTTCACATCCCTCGCAAATGTGTCTTGGTTCTGCCTCGGTTGGAACGACTGCGACAATTGCTGCTTAGTAAGACCCCATTTGAAATCGCATACGGAAGGCTGCCGCCGACGCGTCCCACACCCAGGACCCCCCGCGCTGATGTTTCCGTGGTCCGCCCGCTCGCTATGGCGAGCATCCCACAAGGCCCCGTGGCCCCTTCCCCGATGCCCTTAAGAAAGCTACGCAATGCCAAGCACGGCTCCCTTTTTCATTAGACATGTTCTCCAAGCCGCCATCGCGGGGGCCTGCGCGAGCGGGCCGCGGATCCACGCTGCCATGCCAGGTAGGTCCGTTTGTGGCCATGCAGATTCTCAATGCGTTCCACCGGAATGCTTTGTCGCGCAAGCTCTCAGGCACGTCTATCATCGCGCGGCTCTGCGAAAGGAGGCAGATATATCCTGGCCCTGGGACACGCGTTTTGCTAGGATTGCGCGGGTTCCCCAGCGGGCTCATGGGCAAGAAGAAGAAGACGCCATCCTCCCGCATGCAAAACACATTGGACCGGCGCGATGCATTAATGTGCGACGCCGCGTTCGCAGAAATGGCATCCCAGTGGGGGCCGACAGGCAAGCGGGCGGCCGAATTGATCGGCATGGCTCACCTGCGTAGCTGCGGCTTTGCCGAAGAGAGCATGGTTTGCGAGATCGGGTCCAATTTATCTCGGTCGCGAAAGCGCGCCCGTGCCTCGCACTGGCCAGACGATATCCGCGATGGCTTCGTGCTGTCATTGCGCGCACTGTATTTCGCAGAGCGTCGGGCTCTCTGGACGCGCTTGGCCCGGCGCAAGGTCGCCGAGGTCGTCTGAGCGCAGCCCCGTGCGCAGTTGTTTGCAGACCCGACAGACAGAATGACCCCGCAAACAAAAAAATACGCGCCTGCCGTGCACGAGAGAAAGGAAGACGGCAAAGAGGGCGAGGAGGCGGAGGAGGACGACGAGGAGGAGGAGGAGGAGGGCAGGCAGGAGCAAGAGCAAAGGAGAAGCAGCATTTGTAGGACAGCTTCCGGCGCAATCCACACCTTCGTGGACCATCGGACCAGACATGGCAACATGGTGCCGCTCATATGGGAATCGCTTCTCGGGAGCTTCCAGGCGAATCCGGAAAAGGAAGGGAAATGATACGAAGAAGAGGAGGGGGGAGGAGGAGGGAACAGGCAGGAGCAAGAGCAAACGGGGGGGGGCAGCAGAAAGAGAACGCAGCATTTTTAGGACAGCTTCCGGCGCAATCAACACCCTCGTGGAACATCGGAACGAACATGGTGCCGATGACATGGACATCGGTTTCGGGGGCTTCCAGGGGAATCCTCTTCCCCCGATGCCAAACAAAAACAACCCTCTCCATTGAGGCGCGCCTGGCTGTTTACACGGCCATCCCAAATGCGCTTGGCACGTGTGCCGCACGATTTTTTGGGCGCCCCACCTCGCGGGCAAAGGGGTACATAATCGTCAGTTGTTTTGTCCCGATTGGCATTGTCTGGGCGACTCCCAGGGCAGTAACCTACCTCCAGGACAGCCAGAGAAATTCCACGCCCAACGGCAAGGCAACTCTCGGGACAGCTTCCGGGGGATTTCACTAGCCAATCCCCCCCCCCTCCATGGCAGCCGAACGACAACTTGGACCCGCCTTGGGACAGCGATTTCTGAGACAGCTTCCGGGCAGATTCGGCGGGCGCACGTCTCCGGCTCGGGGCCCAAATTAATTTTCCTCCCTGCGCGATTGCAGGCAGCCCGCCATTCGATTGTTTTCCACCGATTCTGCCTGCGCCTGATTGTGCACTCCCAATGATGCAACCCCAGCGCGGCAATGCACAAAATCGTTGTGGCTCCCCGTGCGCACACACTGCCACAGACATTCTCCGGACAGCTTCCGCGCCAATACCAGTCGCCCCGCCGCCCGCGGACAACCCCGAGCTCCCCGCAGCATCTGGCCCGCAGCTCCTCAAGCAGCTTTGCGCTCACCAACGTCCGGCCGCCCACTCGGCAGCCCCCCCCCGCCGCGCGTCCCAGCTCGCCATGGCCCCGAAGAGCTCGAACGCGACTTACGAGTACGCCCCGGAGCAGACCGCAGCCACCACTGCGAAGGCGGCAGACGCGGGGAAGAACCGCGACTACGTGTCGCTCTACACGGAACACATCCACATCGAGCTCCTTGACATCAACAAGAAGAAAGCGAACGGGGTCCGCGTCACCATCGCCGACGGCGCGAGCTTGCGCTTCCGCGAGGAGCGCAAGACCCACGGCCTCACCACGCTGTGGAAGGGCGCCGTCGCCGTCCACGACTTGGACGAGGCCCCCGCTGGCGCCCAGATCGCGCAGCGTGGCTTCACCAGGGCGCTCAGCAAGGGCAGCCCGAATCCGAGCTGGGCCCACGTCCACGCGGCATTCGGCCAGTCCGCCCGCGCCACAGCCAACGCGCAGAAGCACGTGCTGCAGACCACCGCAGACCTACTCCAGCACAGCTACATCGAAGCCGATTTCGTCGTGCCGCCGACGGGGAAACACAACGGTTTCACAGTCTCCAGCGTCCGCAACCAGAACCGTGTCCAGCTCGCTCGGTCCTTCAAGATGCTCGACGGCACCGACCGCACGGTCAAGGAGTTGCACAACTTCTGCGTCGTCGTCGCCAAGAACATCCCCGAGAAGATCCTCGCGCCGCTGCGCAGCCTGCAGAAGAAGTGCCCGCAGTTCATCACGTGGACCACGTGTGACCCGAACACGGCCATGGTGGACACCGTCCCTTCTGCCCTGACCGCCAAGGCGCCGGCCGCCCCCGCGTCCGTCAAGAAGCGCCCGGCGGCGGCCGCCGTCGGCGGTGCCGTCGCGAAGAAGCCCGCCAAGAGGGCGAATAATTGACGTGCGGTCTGCAGCACGCCGCTTCCACGCGCATCCGCTGGCCCCTGCTAGCCTTCCTTTTTCTCGGCACTCGTGCCGGTGCGATACTTGCCCGGCAACCGCTCCCTCTACTCCCCCCCCGCCAGTAGGATCGCCTGCTCAGCGAGCCCGCACCGCGCTCGCTTGCCAGTACCGTCGTGGCCACTTTTTGTGCGCCAGAGGACCGATAAATGACCCTCGCCGCAACCCTCACTCCTCATCTCTCGCATGCGCGTTCCCAGAGCATCCCTCTGGACACCTTCAGAGGCAATCACGGCGCCCTGAAACGACAGAGACGAAGAAGTGTAACACACATTGAAGGAGAAACTTAGGACAGCTTCCGGGCTAATTCTTCCTGTCGTTAGTGATGGCACCCGCCCTTCTGTACCCTCGCACGCGCACGCCCACCCGCGCGCGCGCGTGCGCGCGCGCGCCCCCGTCGTCCTCGTGCCGGCGTGTCTTGCGATGTTCGTCCAGTTCTCGGCCCTGCGCACACTTCCTTGCACAGCCCAACGGCCGCCTTCGGCCAACGCCTCACTCCCACCATGCACTATACCAAGACTTTCAAGCGAAGCGCAGCGAGCTTCAAGTCTTGTATGTATATATATATATATATGCACACTCGTCCATCCTAAATATGAAAACATACCATCCCAGCTAGGCCGGTTTCCCCCCCCTGAGGTTCCCTTGTAAAAAACACTATGCGGTGACATTTTTTTCTAACATAACACTTGTTCACGAATCCCTTGTCGAAAATGGGACGAAGTGCACACGCGCGCGTCGTCGCGCGCGCATGCCGAAATCCTTCAAAAACCTTCGGTGCCGGAAGGATTTCGCAATCGAGTTTCCTTTCCAAAAAACATACAAAAATTATAGGGTTTCGTAACACTGATTTGCTAAAAAAGCTTAGGCGCGAGCTCTTGCGATATCTTAAGAAAACCATTGGTTTTGTTCAAGATTTTCACTACCAAACGGGCGTCGCGCGCGCATGTCGAAATCTGTCGAACGCCCTTGCGCGTGTGCCGTCGCGAGAATCCCCTGCAAAAAACGGGACGAAGTGCAGACGCGCGCGTCGTCGCGCGCGTACGCCGAAATCCTTCAAAACCCATCGGTTTCGGAAGGATTTCAAAATCGCGCGTCCAAAAAACTCACAAAAACACAAGGTTCCGCAACACGGATGTTCAACAAAAGCGTGCGCGCGCGCTCTTGCGGCGTCGTCGTCGTCGTCGTCGTCGTCGTCCCTCCTCCCGCGTCGTCGTCTTCGTCGCCTACGTCGTCCTGTGTCTTTCCTCGTGTTCGTCGTCGTCGTCCTCTTTGGCGTCGTGGTCGTTTCCGTCGTCGTTGTCGCCGTGGTCGTCCTTCCTCTTCCTCCCTTGTCGTCGTCGTCGTCGTCGTCCGTCGCCGGCGTCTCGCCGTCGTCCCTCCTATTTCGTCGCCGTCGTCGTCGTCGTTGTCGTCGTCGTCTCGTCGTCGTCTTTCCTCCTCCCTCGTCGTTGTCGTCGTCGGCGTCGCCGTCCTTCCTCCTTCTTCGTCGTTCGCGTCGTCGCCGTCCTCCTTCCTCCCTCGTTGTCGTCGTTGTCGTCGTTGTCGTCGTTGTCGCCGTCGTCGTCCTCCCTCCTCCCTCGTCGTCGTCTTCGTTGGCGACGTCGTCGTCGTCTTCGTCGTCGTCGTCGTCGGCGTCGGCGTCGTCGTCTTCGTCGTCGTCGTCGACGTCGGCGTCGTCGTCTTCGCCGCCGTCGTCGTCGTCGTCGTCGTCGGCCGTCTTGCTTCTCCGGCCTTCTTGGGGCGCTCTTGAGACGCCCCCGAGGGCTCCAAAACGACCCCGGAGCGATATCTGTGCTCGGTCCCGCATGGGTTTTGCAAACCAAGTTGCGGGTGGGTGGGTGGGATGATTGCGCGAGCAGTGGAGTTGTCAATTTCAAGTTCGGCAAGTGAGTTGCACCACATAGATTGCCCCACATAGATTGCACCACGTCGATTGCACCACATTGATTTTCAACATAGGTTGCACCACCGATATGGCACCACATATATTGCACCACATGTATTGTCCTGTATTGTTTCATGAAGAGTGTACAGCATATACTGCACCACATAGATCGCACAAGGTCGATTGCACCGCATAGATTGCACCATTCATGCTGCACCACGTCGTCTTCACTACATAGGTTGCACCGCGTCGACTGCACCACATAGATTTTTGCACACATCGTTTGCACCACATTGTTCGCACCACATATAATGAACCAACTGTGGCACGACACGTATCTCACCACAGAGATCGCATCAGGTAGATAGTTGCACACGTAGTGCACACCCAATAGTGCACAGCCTAGATTGCATAGCATGATTTGCACAGCATCGGCTGCACCATGCAGATTGCAGCGCATAGCTTGCTCCACCTCGATGTCACAACATATGCTGCTAGAAACACACTGTTTGGGGTCCACGCTGGTCAACATGGTGCTTAAGGTTGGGCTGTGAGCGTCAGGGGGGCAGGACCACCACACTGCCTGCTCAAGATCATCCCCCCCGCCCTGAGCCCTTCTCATGAGGTCTGCCTATCCTCGCATCGCGTCAACGCGGTCTTGCACCCTCTGCATCCTCGGAGCATATCTGGGCCGTCTCAGGGCGATCTTGGGGCGTGCCTGGGTCATGCTTCTATCCCTCGACCTCCTTGACAAACTGATCGCGTCAACGTGATCTGATTCACCTGATCCTTGACGCCTCTGGCGGCGACGAGGACGGTGAAACGAAGAAGATGCGGATGTGGATGTTGCTGCTGCTGCTTGTGGCGAGGGCGAGGTTGGGAACGCGTGGGGACCGATTGGAACTTCTGGGAGCGCTTGGGAACGGTTGGGAGACCCTGAAGCGCGCTGTGAAGATCAGCCGATGCCCACCAATTGTATTTGCTACTAGGGTCGTTGGGGTTGGATGAGTGCGAAGATCAGCAGATGTGAACCGAATGATGTTTGTTTTACGGGATGGTGAGTGTTGGGTCGCTGTGAAGGTCAGACGATGCCCACCAAATTGTATTTGTTGCTTGGGTTGTGAAAACAAGCGTGTGTGCACCGACTGGTATTTTCTGTTGCACGGGGCGGTAGGTGTTCGGCCAGTGTGAAGATGAATCGGCGTCCACCAGATAGTACCTGCTGCAGGAGATCGTAGGGGTTGGGTAGATGCGAAGATCCGCAAATGTGTACCGAATGTTGTTTTTAGTGTAGGATGCAACTCAACATGAAACGAACATACGGTGGTTGGTGCGGAGCAATCGGGGATGGCGTTGCTGCCAGGGCGTGGTAGCATTGGGGAAGAGCGCGAGAGATGCGGCACCCCGGCGAGCGTGCGCATGCCAACGACGACCTGCAAAAAGTTGTTTCAGGATGCTGCATCTACATGCTGACCTCCAATGGGGGCACAATGGCATACGGAATAAGGATAAGCCGACACTTCATGAAAGCGCCCTCCGTGCCGCTATGCCGATAAGTGAGCGGGTAGCGGAACGCCAATTCACTGCAACAGAGCACTGTGGGACGGTGGGAGGGGCGCTTGGTGGTAGGGGGGAAGGGGGTCTGGGCGGTCGGTCGGAACAAGCCAGGGAGGGGAACGTCCTTTTTGTGGCCCCCACCTCGCACAGCCTTCCCCCCGCACGTGCGCCCCTGGAGCCCAAGCTAAGCGCGGCGCCAGGCAAAAACACACATAAAACAACAAACAACAAGGAAAAATATTTAAAAAAAGAGTCCTGTGCCACCCATCCGCCCGTCGCCACACCCAGGCCGCCGTCCCCACCGCTGGACTCCAGAGGACGCCAGCCCATCCTGCACCCGCGCGCTGCTCGGCGCTCCTCCTCCCGAGCCGCCGCCGCCGCAGTCGCCACCTGCCGAATCCACCCCTGTCCTCCTCCTCACGCCACCTCCGCCGCCTCCGCCGCCGCTGGTCCCCCAGTCCCCGCCCACCGCCCTTGCATGGTGGTTCCCTCCATGATCAGGCCCGGCGCTTCTTCCGCCTCCGTCGCCTTCGCCGCCAGCCGACCCTACCCTGGCCGCCAGCCTGGCTCAACCTCTGCCGCCACCGCCGCCGTTCACTCCCCCCCCGCGCGCCACACAGACACGATAGGTCCCTCCATGGTCAGGTCCGGCGCCACTCCAGCCGCCGCCGCCGCCGCCTGCCGAGTCCACTCAAGCCGCCATCCTCACGCCTCCTCCTCCTCCTCCTCCTCCTCCTCCTCCTCCTCCTCCTCCTCCTCCTCCTCCTCTTCGCCTGCTTCGTCGCGCCCCTCCTTCTCCTCCTCCTCCCCCTCTTCCAGCGGTGGCTCTCTGCCCCGGATCCTCCGTCGGCGCGCCCGGCAAGCAGTCGCGCGGCCCGGGGCGCCAGGCTAGTCAGCACGGCCCACGCCATCGCTGTCCGTCTGCGGAGGATGGTCACCTGCACCTCGTGCTTCCAGCGTCGTTGCAGCTGTTTCGCGTCGGCAGAGGCGCCGCCCTGGCCCGCTGCCTTGGTGGCCGCGCAGGCCAGCGTCCGCGTCACGGTCGGTCACGGCGTGTGGCCGCCCATCAGCGGTCTACTCGAGGGGCCTGTACGCGATGCCAGCTGCTGAGAACTCTCGTATCCCCCCCCGGTACCGCCGACGTTTCCACCGGAAAGCCGCCTCCGTAGCATCGCCCTGGGCGTTGGCTGCTGTACGGGGCCCTCGATGCACACATCCAGTGCCGCGCTGCGTCCTGGGACAGCAGCGGTTGTGAATGTATCAGCCGGCCATGCCTGTGCATTGGTGAGCCCCCTTGGCTCTGTCGTGACGGCCGCGTCAGCGAGGCGCAGTCCATTGACCAGTGCGTGCATGCACGCGTAATGGCCTCTCGTTGCTTCTGCGGTGGGGCACACCTCACTGTGCTCGAGCTGCGGATCGAGCGGCGCGCCGCAGATGCGACACGGACCTTCTGCCTCGTAGCAACGCCCGCCGAGGCGCTTCACCGCGTTGGTGG